GGGGGTAAGCAAGGGGAACTTTTTGGCCTGTAGACTGTTTCCAGAGGAGACAGGAACAGCAGTCTTGGCGGTAAGGATTGCCATTCAGGATTTAGTTCAAGTGGTGTTGGGACAGTTCTGACATGACTGGAGCTGGCTATAACTCTAACCCAGGGAAAATGACATAGGCTTTGCCATGATGGGATGTCATTTTGGGTTGACGCAGCAAGGTATTGTAGTAGTGTGTGTGTGTGTGTGTGTATGTGTGTGTGTGTGTTAGTGACAGTTTTGTTTGTTTTTTAGGAGTTTGTTTAATATGTATGAATTTTTGCCTGCATATATCTGTGCATCATGACTGTGCATGGTGCCCTTGGATCCCAGGGGACTGAGGTTACTGATAGTTTTGAACCACCGTGTGGGTGCTGGGACTCAAACCCTGGTCCTCTAGAAGTGCTCTTACCTACTGATCCACCTCTCCAGCCCCATACTCTGAATCAACTATATAAAGTTTAATAAAGGCTCGCTTAGATGCTTTCCAGCTTCATTAATTTTCCAATTTACTCCTGGTTTATACTTCATTATTTTTAACTTTTGTTTGTTTAGTATTGTTATGTATATGTACATGCGAGTGCACAAGTGTGGGCACATGTGTGCCGTACGGAGTTCAGAGGACAACCAGAGGACAACTCTCAGAGCTGGCTCTCCCCTTAGGCTTGTACAGCCTGTTACAGAAGAATTCCAATCTGGGAGAATCAAGCAATCCCCATGCCTAAATGCCAGTGGCCTGGCTATGGGTGTATTTCACATAAGCCCCGCCTCTTTGACAGTATTGATGACCCCTAGCGGCAGGATTGAGAACGGGTTGGAGGTACTGCCACAGGTATGTTGTGAGCAGCTGGAGGTAGCCAACATGGAGGAAATGGAGCAAGCAGACAATGCGTCAGACATTATTACATCCCTCGCTTGCAGGGACAGTTTGGCCTGGCTGTTGGCAATAGCTTATTCTGTTGGACGGGGAGCCTCCTACTTCAACACGTGTGAGCAAGACATTCATGTGTTTGTTAAATACTTGTGTTTAATTGAGAAATAGATTGTCTCAAAGGTAATAGAACATTTAGTAATGAAACTACTCCCTTGGAAGATACCTACCCGTTTCCCAAGTTGTCCCTACCTTGTAATAATGGACAACCACGGGGCTCTCTGCTCATTAAAGAGTTCCTAGAATAATGTCTTTGTTACTACCACTTGTTCCTGGTGGCATCCAGCCATTGTGCTCTATGCTATGATGCAGTCCCTGCCTTCTAGACATTCATACTGAAGCCAGGATAGAGGGCAAAAGGTAGTTTCTGTACTGAGTAGACACAGGAGCTTGGGGCTAGCATCTGGAGCTCCTTACCCACCCCCAACACAAAGCACTGTGGAGCTGCAGTGCTTTCATGGCTCTGAGGAAGGACAGAGAGAGGAGCTGTGTGCTTCAAGGTAGACTACTCTCACAGCAGCCTGGACAGGGGAGGTTGGTTAAGCCAAGAGGCACCCCATGGGGGACATTTGGTGCCCAGTGTGCAGCTGAGCAGGTCCTGGATGTTCCCAGGTAGAGAAAGCTCCTGGGGTTGTTATCGTAACATGACTTCTCTGGCACCCTTAGGCTACTCAGACCTTAGAATGTCAATTGCATGCTAGATTAAAGTCTCTGTGTGCAATAGTTGGATGCATTTTATTATGATGGCATTTCTTAAACTCAAAACTGATAATCAAAAAAAAAAAAAAAAAAAAAAAGCAGGGTCTCATCTAGCCCAGACTGGCCTTGAACTTTCCTTGTAGCAGAGGACGACACTGAATGTCTGATGCTCCTACCTCTACTTCCTAAAGCCTGGGTTTAGACATGTGCCACCAGGCCCTGTGTTTATGCCATGCTATGGGTGGAACCTAGGGCTTTACTCATGATAGGTAAGCATTCTACCAAGTGAGCTCTATTTCCAGTCAAATCGTGCATTCTTTAGGAAACAGCACAGGAATAGAGCTCAGGCCAAAGCCCAGAGAAAGTCTTCAACCTTGCCTCGCCCGAAGACAAGACTAGACCATTGCTGGTGCTGCCCTCTGGTGTGGTAGAAAAGAACTGGCTAGGAAAGAACTGGCTTATTGTAAAACATTGAAAGAGCAAAACAAAACAAAGGCTCCAGAAATACTGTAAATATCCACTACTTTGTGCAAAACAGTAAATCCAAGGAAAGCACAGGAAAGACACAAGTTATTCATAAGCCACTAGCCTCTTTTCCCTTGGGGCTTATGAATCACAAAAAACAAACAAACAAACAAACAAACAAAAACCTGGAATAAAACCAAAGAAGACGTTATATCCTTTTGTCCCATCTAGTTATATGTTATCAAATCAGGGCAAATATTTTATTGTTTAGTGTGCATGTGTATGCATGTTCGTGTGTGTGTGTGTGTATGTGTGTGTATGTATATGTGTGTGTGCTTGTGCGAGTGCATGTGTGTGCACAAGTGTGTGTACATGTGAGTGTATGTGTCTGTGCGCATGTACATGCGTGGACTTGCACTCCAGCATGCATGTGGAGGTCAGAGAACAGCTCTTTGAGTGTCAGTCTTGTCTTTCTACCATGTGATTCTTGGAAATCAAACTCAAGTAGCCAGGCTTGATGTTAACCACTTACATCCACTGAGCCATCTGGCCAGCTTAAGCAAGTTTTTTTTTTTTTTATTAATTACCCATACCCCCACCACAAGAGCCCAAAACAAAAATAACAACATCAACAAAACGACATCACATTTAACAGATTTATCATATTTACTATCACCCTAGAAGGTGTGAGTTTTACAGAAAACTAGAATGATAGGAAGAACCTGGCCTCTCCTCAGATGACTCTCATGTGCCAACCTGTCCCCCCTAGACAGCTAGCTCTGCTTCTGTAGGACAAATACAGATATCTGTGAGCAGGTGTCTTCTCTCTTCACCACAAACTCCTACTCTTTTACTTAGAGATCTTTTTGTTGATTTAAATGGGATTTTACCATGGCCCAGACACTCACAGTATAGTTCAGGTTGACCTCAGGCTCCTATCTCAGTCTCCTGAGTGCTAAGATTGGGCATGTAAACCACCAGAGTGGAGTATGACTTCCTTCATCATCAAATCTGGTAGCAACTGATCTGTAGTTACATGGAATGGTCTCAGAGGCGGTTCCTAATATGGTTGTCTCTGAGGGTGAGTGTGACTGAAAGAGCTCCTTAGGCACTGATGTTGTGAGCCGTCAGTCTGTTGCCTTGTGGGTGGGATTGTTCTATGCTCATTCAGTCAGTCAGTCTTAGCACTGGAAACAGTCCTGGATTGTCCCCAGTTTCTATCTACAGCGTGGACTGTGCAGTGCCTGAGCTGAGGGACCTCCCTTGGGAACAAAAGTGAACATTAAAAATGATGCTAAGGGCTGGAGAGATGCTCAGCCAATTAAAACACTTGTTCCTTCAGAGGACGAGGGTGCAATTCCCAGCACCCATGTGGCAGCTCATCTGCAACCATCTAGAACCCCAGTTCCAGGGATCCGATGCCCTTCGCTGACCTCTGAGGGCACCAGCCACGCACGTGTTGTGAAGACCTACATACAAGCGAAACACTCATGCATACAAAATAAAGAAAAATCGGGAAAAAGATGAAGTGCTGGTAAACGAAAGAAAAGTAAAAATGAGGAGAGAATGAACAAGCAGGTCGGCATCTATCTTCCGGTCAGCCCCAGCATCTAGCTTCCGGTCAACTCCTTGTAGAGACTTAGAACAGCTTCGCTCCAGATTTTCCTTGAGAGGAAGGACACTGGAGCTGAAAACGCTTGTCAAGAACTCAGAGGTGAGCTGTACCATGCTCAAGTTCATAAGCCTAATAAAGGACTCACTTTGAACAGTGGCCTGTGGGCGTGTTTCCCCAGCATAATCAGTAACCCTCTAATGGAAGCTGTGTTGCCTGACCCACATCGATAAAAGTGTGAGATACCTTGGGCGTAATGTCAGTTGCACCTTGCCCTCTGGGCCTGATTGCTCATACCTGTCATATCAAATACTTGAGAGGGTATTGGAGAATGAAAAGTTCAAGACCATAATCAAGGATGACTGTGTATCCCTTTAATCTCACAGGAAGTTCAAGGCCAGCCTTGGATTGTAAATAACTGAGTTCTAAATCAGCCTTGGCAACTTAGTATACTCTGGTCTCAAACTTACAAATAATAATTTAGAAGAGAGCTGGAGACCTTGAGAGCTTCTTTGAATGTACTGGACCTACGTTCAGTCTCTGCTGCTGAAGAGAAAAGGTACTTTTTACATCTGCCAGCATATTAATGTTGAAAAAAAAAAAACCCTGTAAGACATCTAGGAAGGAGTGAAGTGACCATGGGACTTCTGGGTTGCTGACAGTGGACAATTATCACACAAGCATGGCATGTCTGCATCTCAGAGAGTAAAAATGTAGCTATTCAGTTTAGTGGCTAGGAGATACACAGCAATGTGCACAAAGCAAACTTCACCGGGAGGCCCAGCTTTTCACCTATCCTCTCAGAAGTGGGACAGGCCAACCAGTGAGTGAAATGACCAACTGCAGAATGCAGCTGTGGAGAGATCTGTCACATGACAAGCCTCACTGGGAGTGCTAATCATTCTTTGGCTACTACGTAGTAGACCATTGTGAAGCAATCTTTGTTTGGTTGGTTGTTTGGTTGTTTGGTTGGTGTTTGTTTTTGTGTGTTGAGACAGGATCTCTCTATGTAACCCTGACTGTCCTGGAACACACCATGTAGACCAGGCTGGCCTTGAACTTATGGAGATCTGGCTGCCTGTGCCTCCAGACTAAAGGTGTGTGCTACCGCTGTCC